GATTTCAGCTGAAGAGCTCCTCTCCATCTGTTTCAGGTTAGTGGACATCATTCAGTAAACTGTCCCGTTGGGAAATATGTCGCTACGTCACACAGTGGAGTCTCTCTGATTGGTTGATGCTGGAAATATGTCGCTACGTCACACAGTGGAGTCTCTCTGATTGGTTGATGCGGCGCGTCGAGCTGCAAAAGTTCAGATTTTCTAACTTCAGCGATTTGCGCCTCAGCGCGTCGAACGCTCAGATTGTTCAAATCGTGCTGCTCTAATCGCGCTTGAGGCGCCGCAGCATTTCCCGACGTTGCTTGAAGCGCGTCCACCATAGACTTCGCATGTAAACCTGATGCTGAAATCGCGTTCGGTGTGAACGCACCATAAGTGTAGGTTGCGGAACTCTCTAAACCAGATGTTGAGAGGGACTTTTGTGGAGACACACAACTCATGTGCATGTTTGTTCTTGACATGTTTATCCCCCAGTAGGGCTTGCAGGGGGTTGTCGATTTGGCTTAATTCTAGATCTTTCCATTTTGCTTCATACCCCTCTTCACACCAGTGAACCGCAAATTGCAGTTGTGCTGCTTTGTAATAATTTTCCAAACACGGGAGAGACATTCCTCCTTTGTCCCTTGGTAGTTGTAGCATTTTATAGCGTACCCTTGGTTTCTTATTTCGCCATATAAACCTGGAGATAATCCGGTTCCACTCATTAAACTGCCACTCTCTTTTTGTTAATTTGATGGTCGAATAAATTAAAAAGGTTCATAGTGTTGAACAAAGACCTTGATTTAAGTAGATTCGTTTGTTTAACACACTTTGTTACGTATTTTTTTTATTTATTCAGACGACCAATAGGGCTTTTGTATTGATTCGAACTTATTTGATGTTGCGCAACAAAACCAAAAACAATTAATGGTTGTTTACTGAAACTTGAATGTTTGATTTGTTTATTGACTTTAATGTCAATTTAATTTTGATAAAACTTGAAAGTGCACTTTACCTTTTAACTGTATCAGAATGAACGATTGAGAAATGCTTTTTGAAACAAAGAAATACTTTATTCATGACTGTTTTGTTATTTTGACAGCAGTAGAAACCTGTTTACATGTGAAATGCTAATTTGTATTTTTATGACCTTTTTTAGGTCAAGGTTTTTTCCCCACACACATTGTGTGCCCTGTTTATACTCACCCAGGATGGCGAACTACCAGATCACCACAGCATTGCGGTAGGAACTTTCCAAACCAAACAATTCTCCTTCTTTGGATTTATTGCTACTGGATCATTGGATCTCTACCTAACGTGTGTGTGTGTGTGTCTTGTCTTATAGGTGGTGAACGGTGGAACTCTTTGAATGGTCTGGAGCCAGCAGTCTGGACCGGTGAGGGACTGAGCTCTTCAACACCTGCAGATGACACACATCCTGCATGCTGTACAGAGATAGAGGTTTGAAATTGTTGTTGGAGATTTGTGAATCTGCACCATCGCAAGTCATTTTTTGTAATAGTATAAACGAGAGTTTTATGTGCTTTGACTTTAGTTTTTTGTTTTGTTTTTTCCTCCCCTGTATGGAGAGAAAGAGAGGAGAGTTCTTTGAAAAAAATGGAGACGAGTTCCTGTGCTCCAAAGTTATTTAAGTCTGTGGTTCTCTCACTGGGCAGGTTTCCAGCCCTCATAGCTCACACGTTACAGGGAGTACTAATTGAAGGAGGTAAAAAAAATTGATCCTTTTTGTTCGAGCATCACTTTCCTGTTTCTCTGTCAGGAGTTAAGTAAGGATTTTATCTTTTTTTTTGTAGGGAAATACATGGTTAAGTAGATAGTTTTTTTTTACAATACTTTAAATTAAATAAAACTAGCAACACATTATGTTCTGGTTTATTTAAAGAAGTGAGGGGTAGGGAGACGAAAAATTATGTTTTTGATACTGAGACTGGACAAGTAGATCTCGGCACACTGCCGACTTCAAAAGTAGCTCTTGGTTCAAAAAAGTTTGGGCACCCCTGCAGTGGTAAGCATGTGAAAAGGCAGGATTTTTAAGTACCGATTGAGACCCCTGAGAAACAGTATGGGACGAAATCCGCCCGTCTTTTTTGGCACAAGAAAATACATTGAATAAAAGCCTCTGGGTTGCTGCAGAGGATCCACCGCCTCGATCGCACCRTTGGCCAGGAGGGTGGAAAGCTCCTGGTCCAGGGCATGAGCTTTCACCGGGTCGACGATGACAGTCTCTCTGACCCGGTGTGATATGTGAGACCGCTGTCAGAACTGTAACCAGTAGCCATGAGTCAGAGTGGCAACCACCCTCAGAGTGGCAACCACCCATGGATCCACGGTTTGGGTAGCCCAATAACTGAGCTGCTGATGAGAAAAGTATCCGGCGGCTGGCCTGGTGGTGTCACTTCTTCTCCATACAGCCCCTGGGGGGCCGGGGTGGGATGACGGCCAAAAGCTGCGGCCAGGGCCTGCCTGGCTGATTGGCGGACCAGCTCATGAACGTCCCTACCCTCTGCTGCACAGGACGAGAATAAAATACAGCAGGCCGATCAAAACCCTGAGGTGGCGGCCGAACATTGGGGCGTTGATGGGCGCTGAGTTGAAGAGATGAAGGAGGCATACCCTGCAGAGGCCCGAAAGCTGCTGCCTAGTTTGCTGTGCCTGAATGTCCATTCCAGTGCTTCCACAGCAGCAGACTCAAACAACTCCCCCACCACCACAGGAATATTATGGAGAGTCCTACGGCATGTCTCAGTAAATGAGGACTGAGCCAGCCAGATCTGTTGACGGGCTTGAACCAGGTAGGACATAACACGTCCAAACTCCCTGGTCATAAGTGCAAAGGTCTGAAGTGCTGCTTCGCTAAAGCCAACAGCTGTATTTGCCCCACTAGTGTCCTGAAGGGATGTAGAAAGGGCAAACATGAGGTGCGCCAAAAAATTAACAAAGCGGCCYGCAAGTGCACCTGAATTATACGCTTTACAGATGAGGTCATCTGTAACACGACATTAAGTCTGTGGACACCGAACGCAAGACCTAATCCGGTGGCACGATGAGCAAGGCAACCGCAGGTTCAACTGCCGGCATCTGGTCCAAGCCCACCTTGATCGCTCATACATAGCTGCCAACACTCGGCCATTTGTGGAGAGGCATGAAAAGACTCTAGGGTCCTGCCAACAGGCACGCAACTCCCTTAGGTACTCCTCCGATGGAGGAACAGAAAAGGAAGTAGGGGCCCATCCGCGCCTGAAAAAGYCACTAGCAGGAGCGGACTCCACCACTTCCGGGACATCCAGCTGCAACTGAATCGGGACCAGACGCATGATGTTTTGCATGGAGCTGTCACCAGTCCCACTAGTTGCACCTTGAGACGAGGAGCGTGAGCCAGTCTCCGAAGCGCGAGACGACTGTGTTCCCTACACCCTTCTAAAGTGAGAGGCAGAGGCAGCCAAAGACAGCACATCCTCCTCTACAGCCAACTCAGGCATTGTAGGGGAAGAAAACCCAGCCACAGAAGCATCCATCTTAATCTGGTGTGTCTGAAAAAGGGATTTCACTTCTGCCAACTCTGCAGACAAATGCTCAACCCACCTGGAAAGGCCCTGATCAGACTTGGCCCACCTCTTTTTAAGAGGGGTCACAACGACCGTGGCCTCATTCCAGCACTTAGAGCGTCTAGGCACAGCCACCTGCCCAGAAGGGGGAAGGTCACTGCCACACTCGGGGTGGAACGGGGCCAACCGAGCCACCCTCACTGCATGGCGCATGTAACTACAATTCATGCAGGGATTTTCTAACAGGGCCCCCACCAGATGGTCATGCCCAAGGCAGGCAGGCAGGGCACAGGTCATGGCCATCGTCTGCCTGAAGCTCAGCACCATAACCCGCACAAAAATGGGAACCAGCCATGCCCAAACTGAGTACACAGCCAGTAAAGAGCACAGGCAGTGGGAGAGGGGCAGGAACCGCTACCGCCACCAAGAATAAAATGGATAAACAAAGGGGCTGACACTGTCAGCTGCGTTCAGAAAGCGTCAGACACGTCCTACAGGACAAAGAGATAAATAAAATAATAATCAGAGCTGGGAGAGGGGAGAAGAAACTCCTGTCACCAACACAGTAGTTCAATCAGAACAAATGAGGTTGGCTAGAAGAATTGTGAGAGGGGGCAAAAACGCTGCCGTCACCGATTAAAGCCCTTAACACAGAAGTACAACCAAAAGTATCTGCCAAATTGGGAGAGGGGGCGAAAACGCTGCCTTCACCAACACAGTAAGCTCAATCAAAACAAATGAAATTGGCTAGAATCAGGAGAGGGGGCAAAAACGCTGCCTTCACCGATTAAAGCCTTTAACACAGAACTACAACCAAAAGTATCAAAGTATCGGCCAAATTGGGAGAGGGGGCGAAAATACTGCCTTCACCAACACAGTAAGCTCAATCAAAACAAATGAAGTTGGCTAGAACTGGAAGAGGGGGCGAAAACGCTGCCTTCCCCGATTAAAGCCGAAAGCAAACTGAGAAAGGCTAACAATGTTAGCTAAGTCCGGTGTGTAGCAACACTAAAGATGAGAATGAGTTGTAAGTTGGGAGAGGAGGCGAAACACGCGGTCATCACCAACAAACAACAGAGTACCTGTAGCAAAGATAAGTCCATCACATCCTCTCAGGAGGGTGAAACCGCTACTCCAGCCAACCGGCAATCGAGGCGTCCAGCGACGGTGAAAAGTTCCAAAAGGCCGATTCCAAGAAATACGAACCGCACGCGTGAAGAAAAGWGGAACAGAGCCTTGGATGACGTCAAGCTATATAACTTCTGATTAACCATCTGATTGGTCACAGGTGTGACTCTGTTGGTATTACTGCTCGAACAGCGCATGCGCGAAGGGAACATTCAGTGCTTTCAGCACCACCCTCTGGCAGTCAGGAGGCATGAAATAGAACTTTAATTAGACTATGTACACTGACCTGCAGGTGGTGTTGCGGGACGATGATGGGGCCACACCTGGTGACCTCCGCACAGGCCTCCTGGCAGTAACGGTGAGGGTCACCTCTCTTCCTCATGTACTGATTGGTTGCACATTGTCTGAGGACACAAACACATGTCAACAGCTGCACCAGCTGTGATGTCCCAACCAAAAACACAACATCAAATATCTCACACTTGAAGTAGTACCAGTTATACCGCTATAGAAAAATCATATTCATAGTTATTTTTATAATATTGTAATCACAGTTACTGAAAAAAATCAGTTATCTAGTTTGGTGAACTGAAAGTTAATTTTACCTGGACACATTCTTGTTGGACTTTCTGATAAAGTGACTAAGAAAGTATTTATTTAATGTTGGCTGTTATATAGATAATATCACTAAGCTGTGTACCTGCTGAGCAGTACAGGTCCCACCCTGCGCCGAACACTGAAAGCCCTCTGCAGGTAGTCGATGGCCTGAGGAAACAGCTTGTCCTGATGAGGAACATACAGCTGTTTCAGTCAGTCTTTACCCAAAAGTAAGACCATCACATCCTGATTCAGATTTATCTTTTTATAGCTAGTGTTTAACTTAAACCTCATTATTCAACTGATAACCAAACAAAAGCAGCTAGATTTTGGAAAAAGATTAGAAGAAATGCTGCAGAGCTGCATTTTATTTCTAAAACAACACTGAGTACCTTGTTAAAATGAAGTACCTGGTATGTCTAACTACTTAAATAAAAGTGATTATTGCATCGTTGTGCTTTTTCTTGTGTAACATTGTTTTTACAGAATGTAGTACTGGAATTACTGTCAGCAAACTGTGAAGAAATTTAGAGTTAGGGAGATTAGTACTGATGTTAAAAGCACAACACTATACTGTATTCTTAAGTTCTCTTTTTTGTAATGTTGACAGTGTTTAATAGGTCTAGTTACATGTCTGAAACATCTTTTACAATACATAATTAAACGTTTGAATGACATTAGATGAGAATTTTGTCTGAATGCCTGTGACTCAGCCGTAGGTCAGCAGGGGACGAGCGAAGGCATTGAAGAAAATGTATAAATACATGAACTTCCGGTTTTATGAGCAGTGTGGGTTTCCTGTCTGCAGACGCAGTAATAAACCTCCACTCGATTCCAGAGTTCTGGTGTTGTATGGTTTCATTCCTCCTACAAATCATTTTATTTAACATTTGTGTTTATCATCTCTACTTCAGTTTATTGAATACAAATTTTCTTACAAAACAATAAACTCAAAACATCTCATTACACGTCTGACATCACAAGCGCTATACAGTCAATGAGAAGTATGCGTCATCAGCGTATTGTTCTAACTTCTGCTCCTATTAAAAAATATCTAACTGTATTCAGGTGTTTTCTCACCTTCACTAGTCTCCGCTTGTCTGCAGGAAGCCTGTGGAGGAAGAGAAAGAACACACCAGCCTGTGATGGAAAATTTCACCTGGACATAAATACAATAAAGTGACACGTTGATACAGAAAACATCAAATCTTAAACTGTTGCTTCATTCCACATGAAGTCTGAAACACTCAATAAGAGGGGTGAACTATGGAGGAAGAGTTCAGATTTACAGGTCCTTCTWAACAAATTAGCATATTGTGATAAAGTTAATTATTTTCTGTAATGTACTGATAAACATTAAAACTTTCATATATTTTAGTTTCATTGCACACCAACTGAAGTAGTTCAAGCCTTTTATTGTTTTAATATTGATGATTTTGGCAAAAAAGTAAAGAAAAATGAAAAATCCCTATCTCATAAAATTAGCAGATTTCATCCGACCAATAAAAGAAAAGTGTTTTAAATACAAAAAAAGTCAACCTTCAAATAATTATGTTCAGTTATGCACTCAATACTTGGTCGGGAATCATTTTGCAGAAATGACTGCTTCAATGCGGCGTGGCATGGAGGCAATCAGCCTGTGGCACTGCTGAGATTTTATGGAGGCCCAGGATGCTTCGATAGCGGCCTTGAGCTCATCCAGAGTGTTGGGTCTTACGTCTCTCAACTTTCTCTTCACAATATCCCACAGATTCTCTATGGGGTTCAGGTCAGGAGAGTTGGCAGGCCAAATGAGAACAGTAATACCATGGTCAGTAAACCATTTGGTTTTGGCACTGTGAGCAGGTGCCAGGTCGTGCTGAAAAATAAAATCTTCATCTCCATAAAGCTTTTCAGCAGATGGAAGCATGAAGTGCTCCAAAATGCATATTGACCCTGCCCTTGATAAAACACAGTGGACCAACACCAGCAGATGACATGGCACCCCAGACCATCACTGACTGACCACTTTTCTCGTTGTGCAGCGTTTTCTGCCACACTTTTTCCTTRCCYCAGACTTCCCACTGAGGTGCCTTGATACAGCACTCTGGGAACAGCCTATTCGTTCAGAAATGTCTTTCTGTGTCTTACCCACTTGCTTGAGGGCGTCAATGATGGCCTTCTGGACAGCAGTCAGGTCAGCAGTCTTACCCATGATTGTGGTTTTGAGTAATGAACCAGACTAGGAGTTTTTAAAAGCCTCAGGAATCTTTTGCAGGTGTTTAGAGTTAATTCGTTGATTCAGATGATTAGGTTAATGACTCGTTTAGAGAACCTTTTCATGATATGCTGATTTTTTTAGATAGTGATTTTTGATTTTTCTTTACATTTTTGCCAAAATCATCAATATTAAAACAATAAAAGGCTTGAACTACTTCAATTGGTGTGCAATGAATCTAAAATATATTAAAGTTTAATGTTTATCAGTACATTACAAAAAATAATGAACTTTATCACAATATGCTAATTTTTTTTTTAGAAGGACCTGTATGTCGAACTGATTTATTTTCAGTGTCACAAACCAGAATCTGTGAGAGTGTGGGGACATGACTGTGGTCATTGAGCAGGCATGACCTCAGAGTTTCAGGAGCACAGCCCCACTGACTGACACTGTTCAGAATAATTTCCCACACAGAAAAAATCAGACAATTATATACAGTCAATTCCTCCTGGAGTTAAAGGGTTTTATATAAATGTCTGATAAAATTAGAAAATCAACTGTACTCAAATATTCACAAGAATGTTTTTTCTAACTCAAGTGATTGTCAGCATAATAGCAGAGAAATAAATGAAAGTGCTGCTGGATGCAAAGCTTGTTTTAGGAAGGTAAATGTTGAGTTTAGGGCTGCCACGATTAGTCGACAAGTTGATGACTAATCGACTATTAAAACAGTCGATGACTAATTTAATAGTCCATAAGTCYTTTTTGTTTTTGTTTTATTCTTTACTTTGTTTTTTTCTCCAAACTGCTTTGACACCTTCCACTGCCACATCTGCCTTTCTGTCCTTGACACACATGCGCAGTAGTGTTAACTGGGATAGGCAGTGGACCTCACAAGACATTTTACAGACTGGATCTGGTATTATGGTTACCCAGCAATGGAGCTGAAAAGTGTGGGATCATTTTAAGAAAATGAAAGATAAACCTGTGCAATGCAATATCTGCAACTTACCTTCCCATGGCAATTATTTTTAGTTAGCATATAGCTAAAATCTAACAATGGTAATACTGTATAATAGCAGCTGCATTCTGGCACGATAAGCTGTATGTTTTATATTCAACCTGATTAGTCAACTAATCGAAAAAAAAAAATTGGTGATTAGTCGACTATAAAAATAATCGTTTGTGGCAGCCCTAGTTAAGTTGATGACTTACTGATCAACACTGCTGTCATAGATGATCTTTATCTTTAGCTGCAGGTCGTCAGAGCTTCTTTTGGTTAATCGATCAGGCTTCAAGTACACTTGATGAATAACCTACAAGCAAAACAGCAGAAAAACAAAGATTTTCTTTCTGTCTTCCAAGTAGGATTGGAAAAAATCGTTTTGTGCGCATATAATCATCAGAAAAACTTTATTAGATTACTTTTTAGCACTTGACAATTAATACGATTAATGCCACCAGGTAGACTGAATGGAGATTTCCCCAGTCAGTCTGTTCGGTGCTCCTCTCAGCTTCAAATATTTTATAAAAAAAGGTTCTGTAATTTATTTATCAAAACTCTGGTTTTACTTGGTCTGTAAACACAATCTAAAAATATATGCATAGCCTGAAGCCTGTACTTTTGACACAGTTTGGAACAGATTTTTACAGAGCGTAAATCTTTCCCACTAGAGTGATTTAAATTGGTCATGTGAATAGGACATGCAGGCATCCAG